AGAGTCACTGGACGACAGACGTAGACAAAGACAGAAAAACCCACAACAAAGCTTTAAATACAGGAGAATTCAGCTCTGCAGACACACCTTTTTCAGCATCGAGCAATTCAGATGGACACAGAATTGTTTACATGTCATATCTGCTAACTAACTGAAAGCACAGTGGGCAAGGGAAAATAAATAATTGATCCAGGAAACCCTGCTTCTAAGAGAATTGCCCACTACTTGTGAACACCCAGCCATCTGGTAAACCATGTAACCATCAACAAAGACAGGTAATACTAAAGAAATTAAGGAGTGCTATGAAACCCAAACATGAATAACAACAGTTAACAAAAGATAAACTAGGAATCAGGTTGCTTACCCCTGTGCATTGAAAAGAGCTCCTCTGTAGCTATCAGGTACTGTAGCTGGACAGAATACCAACAAGGCAGCCTCAGCTTCAGATCCCCGACTCCTATAAATAATGTATGAGACGGCAGTGCTACGCCCAGCTTCATCATCACACAGAAAGACCGTCACAATGACAGCACGTTGTTTGCCAAACACAGGAGACAAGCTTCTGCTCTACAGGCGAGAGACTATAAAAAATGCAGTTCTCTTCACAGGCTAAAAGAGCATCGAGCAAAGGGGAAAGAAAATCAAGGATGCCCTTTGTCTGTTAATGCACGAGACAATTAACAATTGACAGATCCATCAACCTGGGGAAAAAAATACAACAGGTCTTAAGAACTGGGGGAACAGACTACATAAAATACACTGCAGAGTCCATTTTGTGTCATTTTACTAAACAAAAAGCCTTGCTTACACCTACGCGTTTCAATCAAATTACAAATAAGAAATAACTGCAGCCCCAATCGCTGGAGTTAACTTGCTCCCCCGCCCCCCGATTTATTATTATATTTTTGATTTGTTCTGATTAAAAAAAAATTCAGGCACTGGATGTGAAATATACTGTCTTCACTATTCCATGTCTTGCTGAATTTGCACGCTTTAGCTTTCATTGCCTTTAAAACATGTGAAGGTCAGGGAGGTCTAGATTTCTATATTAAGAGCAGACAGCTAGTCACTGGAAAGGGTTACAAGTTACCAGACGACTACTCAGAAGAGGAAAATTCCACGGGACGTATTTGTCACAATCCTGAATTTCAGATCAAGGTCTGCTGTGGTAAAATGGCCCCGAGACGCTGTTGGCTGGTTTTAAAATGAATGCTGTGCAACTAAATGGCTTTTAAGTATACGCATACATGCCCATACAATGCACTCCCTAAAAGACCTTGCCACAAAAAACAATTTAAACTGAAGCGAGTCACATCAGTCATTTTTGCTCCCAATTACATTCGTACTCTTTTTTCAGATTGCTGCTGGGGATGTATTTGATCTAGCCCACATTATATCATATAATGAGGTTTTACTTGCAAAAGTGAACGTTACTTACAAAATGAAATTGATTGTAATGGAAAAGGTCAGCGAACAGACTGCGGATAGCGACAGGAGACTCTGAATTCAACCCTCCATCTGTTTTCTGAGCTCTGGCTCCTGGTGAGGGTCACAGGGGTAACCGGCTGAGCAGGGCAGCCCAGGCCTCCCTTTCCCCAGCCACAGTCTCCAGCCCCTCCTGGAGAGCCCAGACACTCCCAGGCCAGCTGAGAGATACAATCCCCTCCAGCGTGTCCTGGGTCTGGACACCTCCAGCAGGACGTTTCTAGGGAACATCCTCACCAGACACCCCACTTTCTCCCCTCTCGCTCCAGAGGAGCAGCCACCCTCAGACTGCAGAGCTCCTCACCCTGTTACACAGGGAGGCCGGGCTCGAGGGTATGTGGAGCCCTCGTGTGGGCTCACCACCTACAGGATGAAGGATGGGGGCCGGGTGCGAGCACGAGCACGAGCACGAGCACGACGGATCTGGAGGGACTGGACCTCTGCATTCACTCCAACGATGTTTCATGTGGTTGCTGCCCTTCTGCAGTGCTTTTGCAGAAGGCAATGACACCAATCAAGCAATCAGGTAAATAACTGCTGAAGCCAATACATGAAATCAACTAAATAATTTATCTGGCACAATCTGCTAAGCATTTTTTTACACCAATACATGACAACAGGGGGCGTTGTCACTGGTGTTGCAGTTAGCACACACCTGACTTAAAGCTCTCAGGTCAACAAATTCGATTCCTGCCAGGGATGTTTTATTTGCGGAGTCTGCACATTCTCTCCGTGTCCGTGTGGGTTTTCTCTAGGTGCTCCAGTTTCCTCCCACAGCCCAGAGACAAGTCTCACAATGGCCCCTGTATTCCCGTGTGTGCGCGCAACCTGCGATGAACTGGCATCGCCTCCAGAGCACAATATCCTGCCACACACACCCTGTGTCCTCTGGCTTAGGCCTGGGTTCACCATGACCCTCGAAGCCCAAGGACTGAAGAAGTTTCTGAAAACAGATGGATTCTTGAGAATAACCACACTAGGTGTACCACCATCACAGAAGATGTTTTGTGATTTTGAAAGACAATAAAATCCTTATAATTACAGAAGTGAAAGTTACACAAAGCCTTCTGCTGCACATTTTGAAAACCAAGATTCTTCCCATTTTGGAAAATGCTGGAGTTTGAACACCAGGCCACTCAGCAACTTCATACTTGACAGGTTTACAAGCCGTCGAATTAGTGGATAAATCAGGGGTCCTGAATCAACCAAAACGGCAGCCCGACATAGTTAGTCAGCTTCTTGTGACTAAATTGAAATTTGGAAGATTTGGTCAGAAATGACCAAGGCTTTTTTTATGTCCCTGAAAAGTAGCTATGATCTTTTTTACACCTGCAGTGGGTCATAAATTGTTTTGAGAATGAGGACCCTTTACTCAAACTCCTCCTGCTCTAAAACTTGTTGACCTATGAATTTCATACTTCCTAAGCCTGGAGGTCGGTTCTGATACCAGTTGGGGTGAATGTGACTTGAAACAGGGTGTCAGCAAAAACCAAGGTGACTCCCTGACCACCATTTTCTTCTGAGAACTCAATCTGCCCCTATCATCTTCAGAACTAACCAAATCGCAACTTAGCAGACCTCAGGAGCAGCCAGCGCCACTTGAGATCTGCAACTCACAGGTTGATGTGATCATTTCCCCACCCACACCAGGTCATCAGCTGTTTGATAAATGCATCCCATTAAAAAAAAAAAAACCTTCTTCTGTTCAAGGCCTGTTTGCCAATTAACTCCACACCTAATATGATCAGCATCCCACATACTGTAGTTCTGACTCCATGTACGGTAGATATGTCTTTTGATCTAGTATCCAGAATTTGGGATATGGGTTAAACATTTTATTTGAAGAACTGTTCATTCATGAAAAAAGGAATGAATCACTTGAGGGACTTTAATTGTTGCATAATCGCAATATCAAGGCGGAGCCATCAGCCATCTATGAACTAGAGCTGCCTGACTGGCATTCTGTTCTCAAACTTCAAACTGCATGTTTTATGAACTGTTGCACCGACTAACCTGAAACTCAGAAGGTTTCATCACATTTAAACGTACTTTAAACTGAAGCTCTCATGTTGCTAGGACACACTTTATACCCACCTGGTGGATCATCACCTGGCTGTCAGGTCGTCACTTGGGTTGCAAACTTTGCACTGCTAAGTGGTGTTCTTCAACAACAGACAACAAAGGTCCTAGATTCCTCTTAGTTTACATGCAGTTCACACACAGTTAAGGTAAGGGCCTAGGATTTGCTTTGAAGTCTTCAAATCCTCTTGCAGTTTGTATTTTTAAGGTGATTCTGCAAAGACTTGAAATTCCTAAATGAAACGTTTCCTCAAATAATAAAATGCTTATCCCTTAATGATGTTGTGATGTTTTACACAAATACAACTGTTATTCATGTAAATACGATAAATCTAACAGATTATTTTTTGCATTCCTGTATCCCATGTGACTTATTTAAATTAGGCCTTAATTATAGTATTTAGATCAAACTCTAATCAACGTAGTAATTTGCTGAATTTGATTTTTGTATTTTTCAGAGACAATTTTCATAAATAACATTACTCTCCGGTTGTTTCAGAATAATACTCTGCCCAGCCTCTGTAAATTAAAACAGACCGCTGTTTCCAATAATGTCCGATACCAACAACCCCGCATCCCTGCTTCAGCGATCAAAGAAGCTTCAGAATCTCTACTCCACACCAAAATAAGGAAACTGTAAAGGAAAAACACAACCCAAGACTCAACAGACTTCGTGAAACAAAAAAAGGACACACCGCAGACGTCGAAGAACCTTCTGACAACACGCAAAGCCAAATTGTGTGCTCCTGCAGGCTTAAGCCTCACCAACACACTGTACACACCTTTGCCTGTCATTATTACACATTAATACAAATCACATTAATTGGCATCATTAAATGTACAACAGGTGACACTATATTCAAGTCCAGGAAAGGGTACTCTAAAAGCCGTATAACAAGCTGACTGATGCTTTAATTAGGCACACGGTTAAAAAATAAAGTACATTATGGGCACAGCAAGGTCTCTCTGAAATGAAATGGCTGTTCGATGGTGTTTAGGAAACGTCTGGGTTCATATTAAATAAGAAACCAAACATCTCCAAATAATAAGGGTACCACAATAATATAAGAGGAGTTAAATTCACGCATTCACAGTTATCAGCAGTACTGCTCCTTAAATCAATTAATATTAGTTAGCACAGTTTCCGATGAAACGACACACATCAAATTGAACACACTGAAATCTGTTCTATTCAATTCAGTCTAGTCCTCGTATTAAACAAAGACGTCAGGGAATGTAACGTCTTTAAATGGCGTGTCCAGCTGAGGACCCTATAGCTGCTCCATTGTTGTATTAATATCAGCCGGGGTAAGTGAACTTCAAATTAGCGCAACATCGGTTTAACCTCCGGTTCCTCAACAAGCTGCACCATTTTCACTTACTAATCCAAGTCTTGTAACCTCGCCATGTTTCACTCGACCGTCATGGTTACATACCTCTTTAAAAATAACACTGACAAGTCTCTGAGCAGGACGGCTTGTTATTCTCCCTTCGTGTATGTTTCCGTCAACACAGAAGCCCCTTGCGCTATACCACGACAGCCATTTTGTACGCAGTTAAACAGAAGAGAGCTCTTGTGTCACAAGACTCCCCGGCTGTAGTGACGTGCTGTACACTTGAATAAACGGGCTCGGGTAGTCCTGCGCTTTATAACTGATGGATTATTATTATTACACCTTAAATGTAGTCATTGTAGCTTAATATTAGCGTCTCTTTTCTGTTAGGTTGATGGATTTTTATTTTTTTACTTTTGATAAATACGAACGTTAGTTTTTTGTATATTTTTATAGTATTTTCTTAGCGCAGGTAAAGGAACAGTGGCAGAAAATATAAAAAGTTTAATTCATTTTGCAAGCATACGATCTTTGCTTTCAGTTTGCAAGTATGGAAGTTAGTAGTATCTCAGGACTCCAAATTAAAAGTTAGGTTTCGAAGGCCATTGTTGCTACAGCATGCCTTCCTTTGGTGAATTCCATGTTATTACTTGTCAATTTAATTGATTACATGAGAAATAAAGTGCACTTCTTTCTTTGTTTGTTGTTCACACACACAGGCAGCACTGACAAGTACCGTAGAGAGACATCTACAGCACACGAGCACAAGGTCAGAACAGAAGGTGAGCTAAATAAGGGTAACAATTGAAATGCTTCACTGGTCTAAGGGTGCTACACCAGCAGGTGGAGCTATGTGTAAATACAGTATCCCCAATCTTCATCAATACCAGTCTGCTAACCTACCAGGTTCTCCTGCGATCATGCCTGCTCAGCTTCTGTCCTGGTTTTGTGTTGTGTGTAATGTCTTCTCTCTTAAAACTGCTCATTTTATCAGCAGTGATGGGCTCTGATCCACAGGCAAGGAGGATTGCTGGGTCTCTGAAGGTTTCAGCGATTTAAGACTTGCGAAGAAGATTTCAGTGGGGTCAGTTCTCTTTTTATGTGACTAATTTAAGCATTCAGCACCTTCAGACTTGAGAAGATTGGAAGACGAACCCACAGAACGTGAGAATGTGAATGGGGGACCCCAATGTGTAAAATAAAGAACACTACATCATCCTTCACTGGGGCACCAATTCTTAATATTTTTATTGTTTTCTGACAGATCCCAGATTAAAAAAAAAAACATGTTCTATCATAATATTGGATTTAGATAATGTCCTGTGTAAGAGTCAGATTGGCTTTCTACCAGACAAAAGCACATCCATCCACCCTACTCACGCTTAGAAAAAACATGTCCATCACAAAATATTTGTTTTATTGACTTCAAAAAAGCATTTGACTCAATTTGACACAAATAATTGTTTTACAAACTCCTTAAAAATGGTGAAGGAGGTAAAGTCTACGATGTAATTAAGTTAATGGAGTTGGGGAACAAATGTGCACTGAAAATCAGTAACAAAGGGACAGAAGAAGTCTTCACTCTGGGTTGTGGGGAGAGACAAGACTGCACCCTGAGTCCAACACTACTCAGTATGAGCTTAGAGAGATGTTGGACCAGTCTGCAGCACCTGGTCTTACACTTCATGAGATGGAGATCACGTTCCTGCTCTGCCCTGATGATCTGG